GCGCTGGTGGGGGACCCGGCCCCCGGGCGGCCGGGCTGTGGCCAGTGGATGGGCCCGCGCGCCGCCTGACCACTCCCCAAAGCCACGGGGGCGGAAGTCAGCTTCGGGCTCCCACTTCTGAACGGTTCCAACAGGCGATCGATTTTTATGATGAAGTTTATAATTTATGTTGTCTTCATACATATGGTGCTGCTTTTGTGCGTCGGGGTTTCAGGTACTTGATTAGTCTGACGGTGTGATTTGCATTCGTGTTCGCTTACCGAGATCATATTTCTCCTGTTTACACCATAAGGGCCCGAAATGAAGATTAATGTCTCTTCCCTACGCCCGGGCCGCTCCCCATAGACCCCTGGCCGCGACTCCCTGAAACCCTGGGCTAAGGCCCCCCCAGAGCCCCGCACTGAGCTTGGCGGGAAGGAGGCCACGCCACGCCGCGCACCCGAGGGTCCAGCAGGTTTACGCGCCCCCAGTGGAGAAACTGGGACGTTTACACAGGATGTTCCTTCTCCCCCACTCAGGCAAGAGGCAAGGGCGCTGAGGCCCCTTCCCCACGCGTTGTCACTGGCCCTGGAGGGCACGGCCAGCTGATCCGGGATAGGCCTGGAGGCCAGAACCAAGTGGTGCTTGCGCCCCCAGGACCAGATGCCCCAGCGTCTCTCTGGCTTCAAGCGCACCCGGGGAGCTTCCCCTCCCACTGGAGACAGCGGTACGGCTCCGCTAGGGACAGGCCCTGGGCTGCAGGGAGCCACCGGGAGGCCCTGCACCAGGCTTGCCAGAAACAGCTGAAATGATTAAGCCAATTAGCTAGAACAAACAGAAACAAGATGGAGCAGGCACTGACCACAACAGCAAGGGCCTCTCGGAATGCAGGGCCTGCAGTGACATGGGGAGAAAGGCCGGCTCCGAGGCAGGCCAGCACCCAGACGGGTCTCCCAGGCCCACGAGGAGTGGCATCTGGAGCTCCCCACCTCTCCCCGTTTGGGTGAAAAGCCTCCTTTGAAAGAACCACAGAGGGGCCCGGCGGATAAGTGGGAGGGGAAAGCTGGACCCACAGGCTTGTGCTACTTTGGGGACGTCTCAGTGCGGGTTGGTGCTGGAAAGGCCCAGGTGCGGGCCGCTGGAGGTTTGTTCTGGAGGTTTGTTCTGGAGGTTTCTTCTGGAGGGGATGGTCCCGCAGCCTGCCCAGCCGTTTGGAGGGTACCCCCAGCCTCTGCAGGGAACGGGGGAGCAGGTTGCTGAGTGTCCGCACCCATCTACCGATTGGGTATCCTCCAACGGGGCTGGGGTGCTGGGCTCCTGGGGGAGGGAGGGTAGGGGGTTGCCAGCCGGTGGCTGTTCCTGCAGCCCCCCTGGTATTCCTACCCTGGTCGGTGGGCACCAGGTTGGAGCAGCCGAGGTGCCCCAGCACACGGCTGGGGGTGCAGGTCCCCAGCGTTCTCCAGCGTAATTATTTGATCTGCAGATGTAAGTGGAATTTATTGTAACAACAAATATAGTGATGTCAAAACCCAACCTTGGATTAAAGCCGGCAGCCAAAAGGGAGGTGCATTAATTTCCAACAGCATCTCAGGCCAGAGCCTATTAGAAGAAGCCATTCTTCAGGCCCCCCCATCAGAATTAATCATTGGGAGTTAATTTGAAGCTCAGACAAGTTGCTGTTAATTTAGTGCAGGGAGGACGGGGTGGAATAAAAAGCTGAGGTGCTGGCCAAGCCTCGTGGGTCTCATTAATCAGCCAGCTGAGACGGCCTGGCTTGATTACAATTTGCAAAAAAATTCATTAGGGCCCGGGCGGTTGACAATTTTTCTCTCTGCCTGTGATGGGATTCATTAGGCCGCCAGATGAAAGCCATGATGACGACCATGATGACAGCAGCCATCAACCTCCGCTTGTTTATCTTCCCGCCCTCGGCCTGTCTCCCAGGGCCGTGGCCTCCTTGCCAGTCTCCTGGGGGCGCCCCGGTGCTCAGGGGCTGGGGGGCAGCGCAGAAGGGAATGGGGAGAGGGGGCCTTCTCCTCCTTGTGCTCTGGATGGGTCAGGGCCCGAGGCTAAGGGTGGGCACGGAGTTTGGGCCCCGCTGGGGCTCCCTGAAGGCAGCCCCCATGTCAGGGGGCGCTTTGCTCTCCTGTGACTGACCAGGGGCACAGCTGCCATAAGGAGTTTAGAGCTAGGGCTTCAGCCCCTCTGTGCCCCCCATGGCTGCAGCTGGCTTCTGGACAAGATGGTGGGGGTTACGTTTGTTATAGTGGGGGACCGGAGGGGAGCCCTCTGGGATCTGTAGGAAGTGCCTGGCTCTTAATGCCGGGATCCCTCTCCCAGAACAGCGTCAGGTGGGGGCTCCCCTGCCTGGGTGGCTGCAGTTACCTATATCCCCTACCCATACTTGGTGACGCCAGCCACATCCCTCTGGGGCACATGTCTGGCCTGGGAACAGACTGGCCAAGATGTGTGTGTGTGTGTTTGTGTGTGTGTAGAGATGTCCCCGCGAGCCTCGAATGCTACAGAAGTGGCCTGACCAGTGGGGAACAGCCCCGAGCAGATGGCATCCGCAGTCCCGTGGGTGCGCAGCACGGGGTTGGCTGAGGGGATGCCACGGCCCTGAGCCAGGTGTGGAGGCAGGGTGGCCGAGACGCACCCACACACGCAGGAGCCCCAGCAGCGCTGACCAGACCCCTGGGGACGGGACCAACCGCTCGGTTTATGGCACTCGACAACCAGGCCCGGGCCGTTTGCAGCCTCTGGGACTCCTGGGAGCACAGCAGCAAGCGGTGCCTGGATTCCTGGCCCTCACCCGGTGCCTGGGCAGTGCGGGCAAGGCCTCTGTGGCCGGGTCTCCGGCCCTCCGCCGCAGGGAGGTCACCGGCTTTAACCTGCAATGAAATCAGTATTAGTGTTGACCCTTGGCGGCGCCTTTCCCCTCCAGGGACAAGAGCCTCGGCGGGCACGGGGCGTGGCTGCTTCGCCCGGTTCACCGGCCTCACCTCGCTCCTCTCGGAAGGCGGAGGGTTGCTCAAGCCCACGGCTCCTCTCCGCCCTCCGGGCTGCTGGCCGCCACGGCTCTGGCCCCTCGACGCCCGCACTACCCAAGGGGCAGCCCCTGCTTGTCCCAGGCGCCTCGGGCGGGCCTGGCAGCTCGCGTTCAGCTGGGCGCTGCGGACCCGAAAAAGACGGTGGAGGGGACCAGGCCCGGAAGCGCGGCACCAGCAGCGGCGTGGGGACCCTGCGCGCCCTGCCAGGCCCTTTGGGCCGCTCTGCCGAGACTGGAAGCGGCCCAGCTCCGGCCGGGCGCACGCGCCCCCAGCTGGGTAGCGTCCTCCGCTCGCCGTTCGGTGGGGCTGCTCGCCCGGGCGCCCTCAGGGTAGGCAGGCGTCCGGGTCCCGCCCCCTCGCGACCTGGTCCGAGAGAGAGGTGCTCGGCCCCGGGGCCCTCCCAGCGGCCGGCCCACTGCAGCCTCTGCGCGGGGGCTTCCAGGCTCGGCGACCTGGGGCTCTGCGCCGGAAGATGCACCCGGCGCCTGATTTATGGGCTCTCCGCCCCGCGGGGCTGTGCGCGCCGCTCCTTCCCGGGCCGAGGGGGTCTGTAAGGAAACGCGTTTCTCCTTGGTTCTAGTCAATTCCGAGAACCAGGAGTTCGGGCAAAGGTACCACTCCCCGACCTTGCTTTCCCTCCTCCAGCCGCCCATCGCCTCCTCTGGTCAGTCTGCCAGCTCCTTGGATGGGGATTAGGCTGCGCAAAGGGGAAAGGTTCGATTTCTAAGGTGAAAGCAGGTTTCCCTAAATTCATAAGCCAGCTGGGGCTCTTGCGCCCGATTTTAAGCCCACGACGGGCTGTGTGGCTCCTGTCGCGCCAGCTTGAGTGACCAGCACTGGTCCGACACCATCAGCTTCTGGACACTTAGGAGGCCCAGGGAGTGGTCTTTGTTTGGTTGGTTTTCTCCTCCTTTTTATTATTCACAAGACTGAGACTGTTTAAATGTCATAATTTAAAAGAAAATAAGCTACATTGAAATAAATTAAACACAACAAAGACGTGCTTCAGACATGGCTCAGATAGGACACCAACCCCGGGAAATAAAGCCAGGCAAAACCGAACCAAAGCAAAGCAAATTTCCAGGCTGCCAACAATGTCCACTTTCCAGTCAACTAAAAAAGCCAAAACGGAAACAAAAATAAGTTTAAACGCCAGTGTTTGTTCTTGTGTTTTGTGGTTACCTTTGGAAAAGTATGGAAGGTGGCTGCCATGGACAGCAGCTGACAGCGGTGTTGTGTCTTCTTCTGGACCGTGAGTCGACACTAGGACTGCATCCTTGGTCCTCTAACTTTCACAATCCTGCAGCTGGGATCCAGTCTGGACAGATATCTGTACAAAGCAGGGCAGTATCACAGAAACCTAGCGTGTCTCTCTCTGCTGTGGCCGATCCCTCTTCATCAGCAGTCTTTGAAGCCTGTGGAATGAATGGAGTCTCAATTTGCTTGGGTTGTCCAAAGTTGGGGTGTGACTTTGCGCTTAGCTTCGAACACAGCGAGTCCACCTCGGGTCCATCCGGCTCCGGCACTGGTCCCGGCGGCACGGTGGGTGCCCGCCCCAGGCCACCCGGGCCCTCAGGGCCGCGCCTGTTCCAGCTGCTGGTGTTGACTTCGAATGGCGAACCTGCTGACGTGGACGGGGATGGGGACGACGATCTTGGGGTTCCGGGAGGGCTCCCCTGTCTTGGAGTTGGCATTGCCGGCCTTCACCCGTTTCCACTTGGCCCTGCGGTTCTGGAACCAGATTTTCACCTGCACCTCGCTGAGCTTGAGCGCGTGGGCGATCTGCGAGCGCTCCGTCAGCGACAGGTACTTCTTACAGTGGAACTCCTTTTCCAGCTCCAGCAGCTGCTCGCTGGTGAACGCAGTCCGCCGCCGCCGGTTCTTGCCGCTGGACGTGGTGCCGCCCGGCGCGCCGCCGCCCGCGGGGGTCTCCTCCAGCGCGTGGCCCGGGTCTTCCTCCTTGGGGGCCGCCTGGCCGGGCAGATTGTCATCCGAGCTGTAGTCCAGATCGCTCTCCAGCGAGAAGCTCTCCTCCTTGCCTTTCGGGTCGTCTTCCACCTTGGACTCGTCTTTCCCTTGCCCTCTGACAGCCCCGACTGCAAGCAAAACCAAAGGCGTTTGATTACACTTCGCGCGGCCTGCCTGCTCCTTCCCGCCGGCCCTGGGCACTTTCTCCCTCCGCGGATTGTCTTTCTACGACATTAGCACATGGCGATCTCCCGGCCTGTGGGGGGGTGGCGCGAGAAAACGCGAAGGAGGAGGGGGCGGCACCGACGGCCCTGCGCCCAGGAGCTCGCCAAGGGGCCCCCCGCAGCGTCCACGGCCCGCAGGCAGCGGAACAGCAGCAGCCGGGGCCCGAGAGGGCGCGCCCTTTGTCCCCGGGGGAGCGGCCGGGCGAGGACCCAGGGCGCGTGTGTCCCCCCACAAGGGAAAATTTAGGGACACTCAATTTCATCGCAGGTCCCAGGCCGCCTCCTTTCTAGACACAGAGAATGTCGGGCAAAGGGAAGTTTGTAACCTGACAAGTTCTCAGCGGACACCGACAGCCAGGCACACGCTGAGACGCGCAGCGCCCCGGAAGCCGGGGTTCCCCGCAAGCAGCAGCCTCCAGCAGAGTTCGGAGGGACCCGCGGCTCTGCGCGCCCCTGGACGCGCCGCGCAAGCGCCTCCCCTCGGGGCTGAACCCGACCCGGGGACCCCAGGTCACGGCGGGGCC